ACATAACAGTTTGCGCATTAGTGCAGTCTAGCTCAATATTTTCTAGACACGATATAGTAGTGGCTCTGAAGGTAGATACAGCGTCAATAACTCCTTCACGTAGTGAACTTATTCTAAATGTGGAAGCAAGTCTGACGTTTATTTGTTCTTGAGCAAATACCTGTCAGATAACTTGTTTTTTCTCTCTCCTGTCTTTACAAGGTCCATTTGCAAAGACAAAAGAGACTGACCACTTAGTTTAAAGGAGGCCAAATTTTTTCGCAGGCCTTCCAGATTGAAACTATGAGCGTGGACAGCCAAATGCAACTAGTATTTAGCTGTGTCTCAACTTGCATACTTCCATACTTGCTATTGCAGGTGTGTTCCTTGAGGAAAATCCATTAGCTAAGTGAGGCATGGTAAAATGCTGCTATCCACTTGTTAAGTCCGACATTATTAGCCATTTCCAGGTCTAAATGCTGCTTCCGTTTGCAAAACATCAAGGCACCTTTAAAACAGTTGAAATTCTTTCAGCTCAAATAAAAACAATTACTATGGCTTTCTTTCAAGTGTAACAATAAAGATTCATGTCCAGCCATCCATGAAACGGAGTTAGTAACTTTAGCAGGGTTAGATGTTAGCAGGAAGTTAGCGGACTACATATAACATGCTCTAACTGAAGTATTCTAAAAATAAATAAATAAATAAAAAGACAATAATGCTATACCTTTGGACAACAACAAAGATGGAACACTAAATAGTAGCAATGTTTGGAGAGTTAGAGATATTTGACTAATGGGATAAATGGATATTTGCACACAATAAGTGCTACCTGGTGGCTAGCTGCAGAGCTAAAGCTAATGTAAACACAATAGCACAGGGAAGATGATGGATTTAAACTGTTCTCCGTGTCGAGGAAGAAGGCGAGAAGCTGTCCACAGCTCAAGGTTAGTTATGTTTTTGCTGTGCGGTTTAGCTAAAAAAAAAAAGAAAAAGAAAAATCTTGGTCCTAAGCTTATTATAGTCACTGAAATCTGAGCTAGCCTAAGAGTGATTCTTTGGGTTATAGTGCACATAATGAGCTTTTAAAAACTGAGCTTAAAGACGTGATGCACATGAATATTTCTAATAAAAAAAAAATTTAAAAACAGCTTTTTTCTATTAACTAAAACACAGCACAAAGCATTACAGCCTCAGACAATGCAGTAAATGCTTGGACCTGGAGACAGGGTTGATACGTCGTCACTTAACTAGCAGATTGTCAATTTATCTTCCTGCATGGAAAATTACTAACATAAGTATCGGAATTGAGACACAGATTAGAAAATCATGAATACTGGAAGCATTTTATATTTGGAAATGATGATTTGGAAGTCTTTAATTTCGTACCAGGCTAGCAGACCCAATTTTTTCCTGCTTAGCTTCTCTCCTCATGTGAAGATGAAATGAAGAATTCAAGTTTAACCCGTGGGTTAAAATTGTATCATCGATGGCAGCTCTACGTGTGTGTATTTGAGTATTTCAACAGGGTGCGCTCCTGTTGAAGTGAACTGTTGCAAATGAGTGGGAAAAGGGGGATTTATTAATTTATTCTTAGATTTTTATTTTGTTTGGGGTTTTTTTGTGTGTGTTCACGCTCCTTACTATTTAAGGATAGCGGGATATTTTGGACTGAAATTTTAAGAGTTTAAAGATATGGATCCCAATGACAGGACAGTTTAAAATTTTGCCTGACTCTTGTTGTGAGCTGACAGAAACAATTTTTCTCTTCATGTATCTGCCGGGAGCTCGAGAACTGGGATTTCAAAAGTGAATGTGTTTTCTTGGAAAGGTCGTTTCATGTCGTCTCTGAGGATGCGGTTCAGTTCTGTGTCATCTTAATGAATGATTGTTAATTCTGCCGTGCCTGTGTTTTTCTTCGTCCGTTTGTATTTGCACTCTGAATTTTTTGGAAAGCTCACTTGCATATCTGCTGTTTTCTGTCCGCTTGTGCACCATACTTCACACGACGACCCCTCGGCGATGAAACACTGGTCACGAAAGTCTGTATAGTAGCCGTTTTTTTTTTAGCACAAAAGGTACATGCATACACGCTTCACGGATTCACATACATTGCAGATGTGCAGACAAACCTACACAAGCCGCATGCCTGCAGACACGCTCGGGCGCATCCACAAATGCGCAAATATGTACAAGCACATCTCGAATCCACGCACTCACAAAAACACACACCGACACAAACACCTATCCTGCGCTCTCCTTGTGGGTTTTTCCTACACCTTGTGAGAGTCGGAGATCCAGACTGCAGCTCTTGCTCTCAGCAGAGGGGGGTGCACATGCATTACTATGTGCGACACCACTTCTGTTTCCACCAGGTCTGAATTTTAAATCAAACACACCCCCGTTTTTCTACCAGCATTCTCTCATCACTTCCCCCTCTTCCTCCTACCCCTCCTCCTCTTTCCCTCCCTACCCCCTTCCTTCCATTTTCTCAGATATGATCCCTTTCAACTCCTCTCCTCTGTCCAACCCCCCCCCCCACCCACCTGCCTCCCAACCACCACCCTTCCACCTCCACCTCCCTTCTATTTTTTCTCCTCTGTTCTCTTTCTCCTTTTCTTTCTCTGTAAAAAGTGTTTCAAATTTATCATTTGTATATTATGATGTATGGGTACGATAATGTTCTTTATTATGGAAAAATGAGAAAGATTTATTTTTGTTACCGGTTTGTTTCATAATTCCTTTTTTAAATTGGTATTGTAATATCTCTATGCAAGGAACTGTTCGGTGAATCGTTTTTATTTAAGAATGTAATTATGTGTAATAAATGGTAGAAGCAGTTTGGCATGGAGTATTCATGGTTCTTGGCTGGTCTGTTAATGGCAGTTTCATCCTGTAACAATATGCACCTAATCATCCATCTTCACATAGAATATTTTATGATTTCTTATCAAGTCTCAATCACAGAGCCATTCAGATTGTTAACAATACGCTCCTAGAGGACGTTCCACAAACCCTTTTGCTTTTTCTTCTGCCCAACCAGAGCACTCGCAGGGACCGAGTGATTTGGGTTTGCTGCAGTTAAACCAGCTCAGTAAAAGTGGGCAGGTAATTTCATTTACATCCTCCTATTTCTGCTATTTGCAGCAAACCACCCTTGGAAGAGTAAAAGGGGCTCTGATTTATCGTTTCTTTTGATCAAACATGGGAAATGGGCCAGAATACCTTTACTTTGCCTCAGTGCGCACTCTCGTTGTCTCCCTCCGAGGAAGCTACAGCATGTTAATTATATCTGGTACCAACCAAGGTGATGACTTATCCGCTATTCCTGCCTTTTGACCATGACTAGCTGATAAAAGGCTAATCGAATAACTAATGGCTAATTAGGGAGTAATTACTCCCTGGTAAATGGCCCTATGCAGCGTATTAATTCTCCTTGGGTCTGGCAGTGAGAAACTCCCATAAGGTTTTTTGTTTCATTTAATGCTCCCTAATTGAAATGGGCACCCTCATCAAGAAGCTTACATGTATCTGTCGAACTTAATGTTCTTTTATCTTTAATTACAGACAGGCTGCATATTATCTACCTAAATATACCTACTATGTCAATCGCAGAGACACATTATGAAATTAGAAACGATAGAGTCATTTTTCAATAAAGGTCGCACGTCCCCTGAATGGCTTTCAATCGTCATTTTCATTCCCCGTGATGGAAATGAGGTTGTATGTGAGTTCACAGCAGAGCTAAATGGTCAAAATGTGTTCTGGCAGGAAAAAGAGCAGAGAACCACATTCACACTAGCACATATATTCATAAAAGTACCATCATACAGGGTAATGTTATTGTTGTAGGGCAATGGGCAAAATTCTTTCGGTGCATTTAACTCTCAATTACGGCAAATGCCCGTAGCAGCTTGGCAGGGCTAAGATGTTGATTTTTTTGCAGCATTTAGCTGAGCCTAACAAGAATGTAATGGGTGTTAAACAAATTAAAAATTTACTTTATAACTTATTGTGGGGAACATGAATGACTGAATTTCTTGGCAATCAAAGCCATTTCACTCAAAGCCATAAGTCCCATTTCCTCCCCCCATTTTTACACTGATGTTGTGCTATTGCCTTAAATTGCATGTTGCCTGATTTAGACCTAGAACTAGTTACAACACATTTCTACCACCGGTGTCAATGCCAGAAAGCTGGTAATGGCAATGTAACACAAAACTGTTGGCCATAACATTGGAACCACCAAAGTCAGTGGCTATGGGAGGTAGTACCTAGGTGCTATGTGCAACCACAAGAAACTCCCGAGGGATTGCAGACAATGTGAACGGATCCTGGTGGTAGTAATTTTCTTCAAATCAACTACTACTTTTTATAGTAACAATACATAATTTTCAGTCCCAAACTGTCAAAATGACAGCTTGTTCATCAAAAGCACCAAGAAACAACTTGCTATGCACCTGCACCTGCACTGTGTACGTGAAAAAGTTTAAAAACTTGCTGATTCAACACCAGAGCCACTGATATCAGTGAATATGGGAATAGCTACCATAAAACCAAGACCTTTGTAGATGCAGACCGCACATAAAATGACATAATACAAACCAATACTACGTAATATTTTGTTCAGAATCTAAAATTGGGGATGCTTCTTAAAATGCATGAAGGCTGAAATTTCACCAAAATAGCACTGACACAATGTCGATGGAAAACATATAAAAGCCTGGTACTAGTGCCTAAAAGTTGCAGTGGTATGGCCACAATCACAAAATTGTTCCCCCTATATTAAAGCCACTAACAACAGTGGCTGTCTGGAAAGACTAAAGCAAGAAATAAGCAGATGATTTGCACATTAAGCCCCCAGATTCTGTCTTTCATAATCCTCTTCCTATAAAAATGACCCCAACTACTGTTGTTTAAGGTTTGTCTTAGCCTAACTTAAGCTTTTGCCCCATGAGTAGCTTGACAACTCCCTGCTAGTGCACTCAGATATG